AGGTCCTTACCAGCCTCAGCCTGGGCGTTCTCAGCCACACACGTGTAGATGCCTGCCTGGGTTGGCTGGAGGCGCCCCCCGCCCCGGGAGACCATGCCAAGGGCCTCACTGCTCTCTGTGGGGCACAGGGGACCCCTGAGTCCCCCAGCCCCTGCCTGTGCTCATGGGAAACCGATGCCCGCAGGGGCAGGGGCGGGGTTCTCTCTCATCGGTCACCGCCTTCCTTGCCCCTTCCCCATTTCTGCCCCTGTCCCCCCATCCCCTCGAGAGGTCTCCGCTTCAGTGCCCAGGACTTGCTCTCAGGTCCAGCCCCTGCCTCCTGCTGTCTCCCTTGCCCCCATCTATCGAGGCTTCTGATCCAGTGGAGTCAGCCACTCACTGACCTGACACAGGGCGCCGCAGGGGCTCCCCCAGCCTCTGCTCGGGCCACCCCAGCCTGGAATGCCGTCCCCTCCCCCGCCACCCCCACACCCTCTCCAGCTGTGCCTTGTCCAAAGCGGTCTCTAACCGCATTGCCCGAGGCACCAGCCTGCCGTTCAACACGAAGTGCCTGAGCCACTGCCCTGTGTCCAGAGGGAGCTCAGGACTCAAGACAAGCCCAGTGCAGCCCCCGTCCTCAAGCAGTTCAGCCTGTCTGGGGGAAGTCAGTGAAATGCACAGCCCCGTGTTGACAAGCCCTTCAAGGCCCCCACAGAGTGGGGGATCTGGGTGGGAGCCATCAGGGAGGGTTTCTGGGGCGGCCTGTCTCCATTGAGACGTGGACATTGAGTTGGAATATGCTGGGGGAAGCAGAGGTGGCCAGGGAAAGTCGAGAGTGGGTGTTCCAGGCAGCGATCAGCATGTACCCAGAGCTGGGGCCAGAGAGGGCGGGCCCTGCAGCATCCCTGCTCTGGGATTCCCCAGAGAGGAAATACGCGTCCACACAGAGACACGCGCACGAGCGTTCACAGGAGCAACACACGTCACAGCTGAGAGGCGGACACAGCCCAGTCATCAACAGACATGCAGGTAAACCAAAGGTGAGGCAGGCCCCCAAGGGAGTATCCAGTCATAAAAAGACAGGAAGAATTTAATTTCTAAAAAGAATGAGATGCTGTGCCTTGTCACAGCAGGGATGACCCTGGAACGGGGAAGGGGAAGGGAGGTGGGGTGATGGGGTAGGCCTGGCTGCAGGGTGCCGGGGGCAGGGGACACCCAGGGGAGGGGAAGAAGAGAGGTGAGGAGATGAGCCTTGCTGCAGGGGGCATAGAGGGATGGGGTGGGGCGTTGGGGAGGTGGGGAGGGAAATAAAGAAGCCAGACACAAAAGGCCATGCACGATGTGGTTTCATTGAAATGAAATGTCCAGAACAGGCAGATCCATAGAGACAGGAGGCAGGAGGGTGACTGCCAGGGATGGGGGTGGGCATGGGAAAGTGGGGGTGCCAGCCTGCAGGACGGCCCTTCTTTCTGGGTGATACGAATGTTCTAGAACTGAGTGTGGTGACGATTGTGCAGCTCTGAACATACTAAATTGCTGAACTGAATGCTTGAGATGGACTGGACAGTACACCTCAAAACAGCTGTTATGAAGAGGAGAGAGAAGAGAGAGATAGAGCGAGGCGAGAGAGGGAGGGAGGGAGAGGAAAAAGAGAGAAAGAAGGAATGAAAAGAAGGGGAGGAAGGGAGGGAGGAAGAGAGAGGGAGAGGAAAAAAGAAAACAGGAGAGAGCGAGCAAGAGAGAGCAGGGAGATTTCCTAGCAGCACTGGCAGAAGCCCTGAGGGGCTTCCACAGACAGATGACCCATCAGGGCTGCTCCTTCAGGTCTTTCTACCCCACATGGGGCTGTTGCCCTCGAGTGGGGGTGGGGCACAGGGAGGTCGAGGGTGGCCAGCACCAGAGGTGTCTGCCAGCTGACAGGACAGAGGGCTCAGTGAGTGACAGACGGGGCCCTGCCACAGTGGGGGCGGGAGGTGGGGTGATGGGGTGGGCAGGCCTTGCCGTAGGGCACAGGGAGGGAATGGCTTAGAAGCCGGGGATGGCCCCTCTCATCTCGGAGGTCTATGTTCCCACTTCCTCCCTAATTTCCCACAGAGATGAGAGGGGTCATCTAGCTTCTCAGCCATTCCATACCCGCGTACCCACCTCCACAGCTCTGGGCACAGCCTCAGGTAGGGGGTGACAGGCAGGCATTGCCCTTCGATGCAGAACCCACATCCAGGGAATGCCAGACGGGGAGTGAGGAGGAAGAGGACGACGACCTGCATGGGTCAAGAGTTGTGCCACCGAGGAGGTACCCAGCCCGGTGTCAGCCAGTGGGCGTTCCACGGCCCTCAGAGCCCACCCTGTGCAATGGGCAGCCCACATTGCCTGTCTGGGGGAGCTGGTGGAGAGACAGTCTCGCTTTCGAGCCCCTGCAGGAGCCATTCTTAGGGCCTGGACTCTAAGGGCCAGTAAATGACATTCCAAGACAGATGCGCTGCCAGCCTCTGGTTTTGCCAAGAGCGCTGACAACCAGGGATCTCTTTCTTTTGTCACCGTCATTTCATTAAATAAGGGAGTGCATCACTCAAAGCAGAAGAGGACAGGTGTACTCATCCATGGGCATCCTGTCCTTTAGCCAAGTGACCGTGGGCACAGAGACTCCAGACACATCGCAGGTCAGGACCAGGGGGCTCTTGGCCACCTGGCTCACTATCTCCATCTTGGGGCTCTCAAACGTTGGGGGCACTGCAAGAAAGAAGCCAGATTGCTGGAATCCTGGGACCCTTCCCTCCATTTTCTTCCTCTTGGGCAGATTAGGGAGGTAGGAGTTCACATTTTACCTCCATTGGTGGAAACAGGAGTTGCTTTATTACAAATGTAAATAAAATCAGCCCTTAGTTACCAGGCAGAGTCCAGCAGTGCTTAACCTATACCAGGGCAGACATCACTAATCGATCCCAACGTCCTCTCCTGCCAGGATGAAATCATACACCCTAGAGAGCCACCACCATCAGAACAGAGTCGAATGGGCTCAGGATGGAAAGTCTGCTCCCAGTGACTAGACATTCCCCGTTTCCCCCATGCATCGAGGTAGCCATCAGAAGAGACTATGAGCTCCAAGTAGCGAACCTGGTGTCAGCCATTTTCAGTGACTGCGTTCAGCGTGGCTCATGGTTAGAGGCTGCCGGCTTTGCCATCTGTGGCAGGCAGCTGGTGTCCTCCCCAACCTTTTCTTCACACCTGCACAGCAGAGTTTTAGCTGCGTGTGCAGTCGCTCAAGTCAAAATGACATTTCCCAGTCTCCCTGTGGACAGCAGCCTAAGTCCTTCCTGACAGGATACATGCAGAAGGGGCAGGTAGGTACAACTTCCACGTGAAATTGATGCTCACCTCCCCTGCTCTTTCTGCTTCCTATGGGCTGGGGCGGGAGGATCACTTGGGCAACATAGCAAAACCCCATCTCTATTTTTTAAAAAAGCTAGCCACACGAACAAGGACAACACCCTAAGAGATGGAAGGGCAACAAGAGGGAAGGAACCTGGGTCCCTAAGTTACCACATGGAGTGGAGCTATGCCCCCAGCCTGGACACTCATGTCTAGTCCTTAACCTATGCCAGGGCAGACATCACCAACTGATCCCAACAGTCTCTCCTGCCCCACCAGGATGATGTCATGCATCCCAGGCAACCACTATTAGAACAAAATCTGGCCTCAGAGGAACATCTCTGCCCCCAGTAACAAGATGTTCCCCATTCCGCCCCACCCCACCCCTCCATGCTTCATGGTAGCCATCAGAAGAGACTGCGAACACCAGCACTCCTTAACCTATGCCAGGGCAGACATCGCTAATCGATCCCACATTCTCTTCTGCTCTGCCAGGATGAAGTCATACACCCCAGATAGGCACTGCCAATAGAACCCCAGTAGGCAATCTTCTCTCTCATTTATCCCACTGTATTTTGGAGTCTCTTTGTTACACGGCTAAGTCTATTTTAACAGAAACAACACCTAGCCTCCGGAAAATCTGGCCACACATCCTAGACGGCGCAAACAGAGTCCTCCTCACCCCAGCTTCACTCACATAGGTCATCAAATGCCATCCACGTTCCCTCCTTGGGCTGATGGGGCAGGCCTCCTTGGGAATCGAGGTGGCATGGCCTTCCACATGTCTGATCTTCCAGTATTCTCCATCCTAGTGCCTGGTGCCAGGTCTTTAGAGACACAGTCAAGGGATCTGGCAGCCCAAGGGATCCGGTGCTTTCAGTGTACCCAGCAGGAAGCTACTGCTTTTAGCTTCTTTTACTTCAGATAAACCTGCTTCATGACCAGCCTGGGCAACTTGGTGAGACCCTGTCTCTACAACATATCAAAAAAAAAAAATTAGCTGGGCGTGGTAGCACGTGCCTGTAGTTCCAGCTACTTGGAAGGCTAAGGTGGAAAGATCACCTGAGCCCAGCAAGTCGACGATGGGGTGGCCATGAGCGTGCCACTGCACTCCAGCCTGGGTGACAGAGTGAGACTCCGACTCAGAAAAAAAAGATAGATGGGGTTTCTCTATGTTGCCCAAGCGATCCTCTTGCCTCAGCCTCCCAAAGTGCTGGGAATACAGGCATGAGTCACTGTGCCCAGTCTTCCTGGTCTTTTTAATTCCAGATATCATGCCCCAGCACTTGGCTACACCACTTCTGTCCAGCTCTTGTCCTTCTCCTCCTTGGCAGCCTCATGAGCTGCTAGAGACTCCATGGCCACGCTGGTCACGCTGGCCCCTGGCTTATCCTGGACAATGAGGATGAAGGTCTTCATGGCCTCCCCTGCCTCGTTTCTCACTTTACAGCCACATAAACCTTTATCCGACACCTAGGATGGGAAGAAAACATGATGACGGTGTGCATGGAGCTGGAGTGGGTGCCTGGATTCCCCTCAAACATCCAGGCTCTGAGGGCTTCCAGAGCAGGGTTCCCCAAATACCCTGGTCCTGACTGGGGGGTCAAAGGGAAACAGGACCCTCTAGCCTTTCCTAAGAGCCTCAGGGAGCAGAAGGGCCCTCAATAGCAGGTGCACAGGCTTTGGCCCCCCTCCCTGGGCCTTACCTGGAGGAAAAATACCCCCCTCCCCCACACCCTCCCTCCTGCAGCTGTGGGGACAGAGCTGGGCCAGAAGAGAGTTGCCCAGAACGAATTCCCAGAGGAGCAGCAAATATTCATCTGACAAACACTTGTGCATGTCTAATCTCGACCCAGGCCACACCAGGGAAGGTGCGACAGACTCTTGGGCATTGCAGACAGCCAACCAGAAGGGCCTGGAAAAAGCTTCCAGGTCCTGGGGAAACTGAGGCAGGCAGTGGGTTAGGGTGGCTTAAGGTCATCCTGAGTCCGGAACCTAACTCTGCAGTCCTGGGCTCTCTCCATGTCTGCAGCCCTGGAAGGTGCCGACCCACTCGGCTTGGGGGTCCCCGGGCCAAGGAGGCTGCAGCTCCCAAACCCTGCACGTGCCTGCCACCTCCCCCCTGCCCCCACCCACAACTCTCTAGGGCTGGAGGCCATGTCCTACGGCTGTCCACAGTCACCTGCGCTCACCTGGGCTTCCTGGATCTCCAGACTCTGGCCCCCCTGCAGAGCCTAGGTCCGCTGCCCAGGACAAGGGGCTGCCCGTCCTTGTGCCAGGTCACGGCCAGCTCGGAGAGCGCATCTGTCTCCCAGCTCAGGATGGCCTTGTCCCCGGCCCGCACCACGACAGCAGTCTGGGGTCCGCAGGGAGCCTGCCTGAAGGTGGGGTGAACTGGGGTGGGAGAGAGCAGAGTGGGGAGCTGTGGCCATCCCATGGGGAAACAGCCTGCAGAGGCCCACGAGGGTCCCATGGGGGACCCGACTCCAGGGACTGGTGCAGACCAGGGGAGATGGAGGAGGAGAACGAGGCCAGCACGCTGAAGACCTGCTGGGTGACCAGGGACAGCCTCCTGCCCTCTCTGGGCCTCAGCCTCTGGAGGGGGGAGAGATTGATGGCCCTCTAAGCTCTGTTCTACACAGGGCAGGTCCCAGCTGGGTTGGAGCCTCCGCGGGGACCCCTCTGCCCCCCGTTGTTGCAGCAAACTAAAGCAGAACTCCTCTCCACCAGTTGTGAGCTCACAGAACCTGGCACGAACTCTGGTGCATAGCTGAGCACACACAAAAGAATGAATAGGGCTGGGTGGGGTGGCTCATGCCTGTCATCCCAGTGCTTTGGGAGGCCAAGGTGGGAGGATCACTGGAGCCCAGGGGTTCAAACCCAGCCTGGACAACACAGTGAGGCCTTGCCTCTACAAAAAAAAAAAAGTAGCCGGGTGTGGTAGTGCGCGCCTGTAGTCCCAACGATGTGGGAGGCTGAGTCAAGGAGGTGGAAGCTGCAGTGAGCCGTGATCATGCTGCTGCACTCCAGCCTGGGCTATGAGTGGAACCCTTACTCAAAAATAAAATAAAATAAAATGAAAGAAAGAAAGAAAGAAGGAAAGAAAAAAAAAGAATGAACCAGCCCAGGGCTAGAAGGAAGCTTCGAGTGAATCCTGCTGGTGACACCTTGGACCAGCTTTTCCCCAGGATTCTGAAGACCACGGACCCCACAGCAGACCCCTTGGTGAGAAATTCACAAACAGGCCTGGGGGAGGCCCCTTCCTGGCCAGGATCTTGGGGTTCATCCCGCTGCCTCCTCGGAGTCCCAGCTGCCCCGTCCTGGCTGTGCTGCCCAGGGAGGCAGGGCTGAGGGCACAGGCAGGGGACAGACACAATGTACCCAGCACGCGGAGCTGTGTGAGCTTCTGTTCTCAGCCGGCGGCATTGAGGGCCTCACACGCGTACGTCCCAGAGTCCTATGCCTGCACTCGTGCCAGCTGCAGCGTGTGGGTGCCTGTGGGGGGCAGGGGAGCCAGCCCTTCACGCTAGCGACCTGGGCCAGCCCCCAGGCCCACTCTCCGAATCCTAACCCCTTCCAGCCTCACAGCTCTGTTCCGGCTTGAGGTAGCAACTACTCTCTCTCCATACGTAACTTCAGATCCCAGCCCGAGGTCTCAGTTTATCCACCAGGCAGGAGGAATACCTCTTCGCCCAGGGAGAGGGCCTCGCTGTCATTATACCATGTGGCCTCCGGGCTTGGGTGGGCGTGGATGTCACAGGGGAGGGAGATGCTGCTGTTGAGGATGGCCGTGACCTGCTCTGCGTTTGGGCCTGCGATTCGTGGCGGGACTGTCCCCACGGCCACCAGGACAGAGAAAGGTATGAGCATGCCACCAGCCAGGGAGCAGAGAGCCAGAGGGAAGCTCTGGGAGCATTTATCCAGCTCCTGGGGCTCCCCCTTGTGCATCCAAATAACCCTGTGCAAAGACCTCTGTTTGTCCTGTCTCGTCCATGAGAACACTGGGACTCCAGGACCAGAGAGGGAGAGTCACCATCCCCAAGCCTCACAGCCAGCCAGTGGCAGAGCCAAAATACATCCATTCAGGTTAGAGTCTGTGACCTAGAGTGCTCGCCACTGTCTCTCTCTGCCCTGGAGGCAGAACCCAGAGCCACGGAGGTGCGGTGACCATCATGGGAGTACAGAGGTCAAAAACGCAGACTCAGGGTGGTGAGAATGAACAAGGCAGGATACAGTGGCTCCTGTGTGTCATCCCAACACTTTGGGAGGCCGAGGTGGGAGGATTGCTTGAGCCCAGGAGTTTGAGGCCAGCCTGAGCAATACAGCAAGCTCTCACCTCTATAATAAGTAATACTAGGGCATCCTCTCTGAGTCCTTTCCCACATCTGGAAAGTTGGGCTAATCTAGTTCTGGTGCAAGGAGGCAGTCCAGAGAGCACACTCAGCCCCATGCCAGGTACACAGTAGGTGCTCAATAATGGTGCCATAAAAGGCTCTGGAAGAGTTATTCCCTGGACGCCTCCAGAGTGCTTAAAACCACCCGGTGTCAGCCTTATAGTGATCAAGATCCCCCAAATGCTCTCTGTCCTTCCGGAGATGTGGCTGGCACCAGGCTGGCATCCCTGAGCTCTGAGTGTGGGTCCCAGAGTCCAGGATCCTGGAAGTCCAAGGCGGTGGTCCTCGGGAAGGGACAAGGGACCCAGAGTCTGCCCATGTAGCCCCGTTCACCTTGGACCCTGAGGGTGAAGTGTTTCTCGACGGAGCCTGCCTGGTTCTCGGCCACACACACATAGCTGGTGGCATCGGCCACCTCCACTGTGGAAACCTGTGGCCACGGGGAGCTGGTGTCTGGGAAGTGCCAGAGGTCCCCGGGACCCCCAGCCCCGGGAATGAACATGAGGGCTCCCTCCCACCCATGCGGGCACCAGATGGTTCAGGGGATGGGAGGAGCCACTTCCACCTAGTACTCCTGTGACATCCAGGAGGGAGCGTGGGAGGCCAGTGTTGGGCGGTTCTCTGCAGCCAACCAGACGTGGCAGCAGGCCCCCTGCCCCCAGGGAGGGCTTCCCTGAGTGGTGGGCTCTGGGGGGTCCCTGCAGCACTGCATGTGGGTGGCTGGGGGTGTGCCTGAAAGCTAAGTGCCAACACAGCTCTGTCTGCACCTGCTGGTGTTCCCAAGCTGGGCAGCAGCTGTCACCTGAACATCTGGGTCCTGCGTGCAGTGGCACCATCACGGTTCACCACAGCCTCTACCTCCTGGACTCAGGTGATCCTTCTGCCTCAGCCTCCCAAGTAGCTGGGACTACAGATGTGCACCACCACACCCGGCTAATTTATTTTTTGTAGAGACGAGGTCTCACTATGTTGCCCAGGCAGGTCTAGAACTCCTGGGCTCAAGTGATCCTCTCTCCTCAGTCTCCCAAAGTGCTGGGATTACAGGTGTGTGCCCTGACCTCTCCCAGATGACCGTGTGCTGGGCTGAAATAACTCCCAGGGTCTCCTGTATGCTTTTGGGCAAAGAGCCTCCCTTGGCACAGATAATGCCTGCTTCCATGCTCCCAGGGGCAGCCCTGACCTGCAAGACTCTTCCGTTCTCCAGGACCTGCAGCTGCGGGCTTGGGGAGAAAGGCAGCCCGTTCTGAAGCCATGAGATGGTGGGCATGGGGTTGCCCAGGGCCGGGCACTGCAGGCTGACAGTGCTGCTGGCGTTGACCGTCACCTCTTCCACCAGCTCCTCGTGTCACCCAGAATCACAGGTAGGGCTGGGGGTGAGGGAGAGGAGGCTGAGGGCCCAGCATAAGGCCAGGGTGGGCATGGAGGGAGAGTGGCACTCGGTGCCAGGCACTGGCTGGACTCCTCATGCCCTGCTCACCAACCTTTCCCAGACCCTGATGCAGCTGAGGAATCTGGGGCACAGAGAGGGTTGCAATTTGCTCAGCATCACACAGCCAGGAAGTTTCTAACTTGGACCTGGAACCCCGCTTTCTCTACTTTTTTTTTCTTTTGAAACCGGGTCTCACTCTGTCGCTCAGGCTGGAGTGCAGTGGCAGGATCCTGGCTCACTGCAGCCTCGACCTCCTGGGTTCCGGTGATCCTCCCGACACAGCCTCCCAAGTAGCTGGGACTACAGACACATACCACCACTCCCAGCTAATTTTTTTATTTTTATTTTTTTTTTTAGAGATGAGGTCTTGCTATGTGTTGCCCAGGTTAATCTCAAACTCCTGGGCTCAAGCGAACCTCCTGCCTTCGCCTCCCAAAGTACTGGGATGACAGGCGTGAGTGACCATGCCGGGTCAGAACCCATTTTCAACCATGCCTCAGCCCTTCAGAGGGCTGCCTCCTGGGGCCTGCAGTCCTGAGACACTCCCGCCTCCACCCAGCTCCCCACCCTGGGCCCGGGACACTCACTCGGCACCAGCAAGTCATAGCGCAACCAGTCCTCTCCCGCCTCGAGGGAGGCTTTGCACGAGGACCTCCTGGCCCGGACCAGGGGGATCTGCAGGACCCAGCCTCCTGCGAGGACACAGGACAGAGACCTGAGTGCAGGCCAAAGAACAAGAAAACTACTCTTTTCTGTCCACTGGAGGGGACCAGAGACTTGCCACCATTCTCTTCCTCTTCTGTGAAATGGACAGAGCCAGCCTGGCCTGTGGGGCGTGGGCTGTGACTACTCCCATCTTACAGATGGAAAGACCGGGGTTTTGCAACGGGGCCCAGCAAGGAAGTGGTCGTTGCCGGCTCAAGTCTGTGCCTGTGCCCAGCCCAGTTCGTTGGTGAGGGCACAAGGAAGGGGCAAAGAATGGGGCAGAGATGCTCCAGAGTCAAAAGAGGTGGCTCCTGGGCCTATGGCTGGTGGGGGAAAGTGGGGAGGTGTCACCCAGGACCCCCTGTGATAGAAAGCCAGCCAGGACCAGAGCCTGACATCTCTGGGGGCTGGACTTAGTCTCCAGTGGGGGCCAGGTTAGGGTCACTGTGTACACAGGATTCTGGGTTGGGATGGCCAGCCCCAGCTGCAGGGAGCTTGACCAGGATCAGAACAAGGGTCAGAACAAGGTCGTTCCCTGCAGGGCCCAGGGATGGTGGCCAGGATCAGGGAGGCAGAGGCCACAGTGCGGGAGGTGGGAGTTGGTGGATGTTTGAGGTTAGCCTATGGTCAGGGTTCGAACTCAGGCCAGTTTGTGACCAGATCACCTATGTACTCAGGATTAGGGGTCACTGGCTGGGGTCAGAGGTCAGTGGAGGGCTCAGAGGTGATTGACTAGGACTGGGGAGAGGTCAGTGGCCGCGGTCTGGGTTCAGTTGATGGTTAGGTCAGGGTGTTATAGAGGTGAGCCATGTGAATGGGCTTACTCTGCACCTGGGATTTAGGGTCAGTATCAGAGGTCAGCGGCCAGGTGAAAGGGAAGGGGCAGTGCAGAAATTTCCAGCAGGAGAAAACAGCTTTCAGTGAGTCTGGCCTTCCCAGGTCTCCAAGAGGCCAGTTTCTCTTGTAGGCACCGAAGTACAAACCCTGGTGTTCTCTGCTCCTTGGAGGCCGGTGCAACTGACCTCCCCCGACAACCACCCTTCCGCTTCCGCTGGCCTAAGTCAGGCAGGGCACCAGGGTTTGTACTTTGGTATTAACCCTGCAATTTGCCAAATTAAGGGTTAATACCTAAATACCCTTGTTATTCCCAAGTCGGGCAGGACACAGTGCGAATCCTAGGCTGGGAGACCACCCAGCTTTATCTGAAGGAGCCAGGCAAGCTGCCCAGCGAGGCCAGGCATTTCTAAGCCTTATCCTTGGAGCCTTTAAGTTCAATATCACCCACAGAAATGATTCTAAAATAAAGGGTCTACTCAAAAAATAAATAAATAACCTTAAATAAATGAATATTCAATGTGGTAAAAAGAAAAAGGTGGACCAGTGGGAGGGTAGATAGGTGGATGGATGAAAGGTGGATGGATGAGAGGGTAGATAGGTGGGTAGATAGGTGGATGGATGGAAGGTAGAAGGGTGGGAAGGCGAATAGATAGATGGTTGGAAGGTGGATAGGTGGATGAATGGATGGATGAAAGGTGGATGGATGAGAGGGTGGATAGGTGGATGGATGGAAGATGGAGGGGTGGGAGGGTGCATAGGTAGATGGATAGAAGGTGAACCAGTGGGAGGGTAGATAGGTGGATGGGTGGAAGGTGAATGGATGGGAGGATATATGGATAGGGGAGGTGGAGAGATAAAAGAATAGATGGGCCAGGGAGACTGAGTGGATGAGAAGGTGGATAAATGGGGGTATGGATGGATGCATGGATTAAAAAAAGAATAAGTTTTGGTTATGTGGTAGGTGGGTGGATAGATGGTGGATTTATGGGATTGGGAGAATGAATGGATAAAGTTCTACTGGGCTCACTTTAAGCAAACTGAAGGAGCTCTCTTGCTTTTCTCAACAATCTGGTGGGATGATACCATAAATAGTGCATTGCAGAGATTGAGGTAAGAGGAATCTTCTGAATAAGCATATTATTACCTAAAATCCAAAGCTATAGCCAGGATCTTGGGTGTATTGGCTAAGGATCCTTAGCCAACCTACCTGGGTTCAAATCCCAGCTCCCATACATCCTATCTGGCCTTATGCAAGTCAGTTCGTCTTTCTGGGCCACTTATTTATGAGATGAGGCATAACACCTTCCTTGTTCTGAGTAAATAGTAATCAGGAACTACTCAGTTGTAAAGTGTCTGAGTAGTTCCTGGCACATACTCAGTACTCAGCAAATGATAGCAGAGAAGATAATTTAACCAACAAGACACTACCCGGTGGCAGTATCCTTAATTGCAGACAAAATACTCAGGAATATTTGGGAAGAATGGGCTGGGCTTAAGAGTATTCCAAACAGAAGGAAGAGAATGTTTTTGAGATTAGAACATGCTGGGTGCATGCTGGAATGGGCCCAAGAGAGTGGAACAAT